AATGCTGGATGGGAATATTCTGACAGCCTGGCTGTGCTCAAACCCACTTGTACCTCTCTCTGTGAATGTGTGTGAATGTACAACATGCCTGGTTTTTATCTACAGATTGTGTGCTCTTGAGGATAAACGAGCACCTTGTCATCCAACAAGGGGCAAGTTAGCAGTGTGACTGTGTGTAGTGATTGTCAGAGTTACAGCATTAGTAGGAATTTTGCTTACAGAGGATGGTCTGGCTTGGGTAATGGACTTAACTGGCATTTGGAGTTTAGAGAAAACTGCATGGTCAATTTGTTATATCCTCCTAGATTTTTGGAAAGTGAGATCAGATTTTCTGCAAGCCTAAGGGAGGAAAAATGCAGTAGAGGAAAAACAAAGTATTTTTGTGGTCAAAACAGAATGCAGGACATTTCCTTCCAATACTTAACTGTAAGGAAAAGGTTAAGAGGACTAAAATAAGAGTCTATGTGTTTGTACTTAACAATCTCTTCCTAGAGTGTGATCTAGTAATTCTCAACTGTGTACTGTCACTTTTTTAAACAGGGAGATTTACAGATGCAAGGCTTATGGGGTGAGCAGAAATGAAACTTCCTGAACTAGGTTGTCAGTGGCCTACCTTCACTTACAAGATGCAGTGACCAAGACTCTTTGTAATGATTTGGTTTAAAGGAGTATACTCAGGTTTTGAATACTTTCATATTTTCTGTTTCCCATTTCAAGAATTTCTAGCTGGAAAAAGCACTTTCTCTTTTCTGCTTTTAAGATTTTGGTGGGATTTTTTTCAGTAATTTTTCATATTTACTTTTCTCTTTGGAAATCCTCTATGGCTCCATGACTTTCCTGTTATAGGAAAAGTTACTACTTTTGTTTGAGGGTTTTTTCCTCTCCCAAGTCATCACCATGGAGCCAGTTTGCTCCCAGCACAAAAAGTGATAATTGTTCCTATTCAGTGTTATTGACATCAGGCTCATGTCCTGCAAAGGGTGAAATTTTTAGATGCACCTATTTAACGCCATGCATTTAGAACCTTTATTTTGTGATTTGCCAACTGGCATTTGTCCTTAGAAGTGCCCATTTGCAAATGGTTAATTGGATCAAATAAAGTACTGAGCAAAAAATTGTATGGCTTTCCTCTAAGAGTGGTTAGGAAGTTGAGGAGATGACTTTCCTATGGAAAAGGCCCTGCCTGTTGATGGAAATGACTGAAAAGGTGGTTGCAGATCCCTAGGTGTTAGTGTTTCCCCTTCATACAGTACCAGTCCAATGTTTGCCAAGTTTCACCCTGTTAAAAATCGGAGAAGATGCAAAGGCTCAAGACAGATAGAACTGACATTTTATGTACTTTGAGGATTGGATTACAGCATAATCCAGTGCGGGGATCTTGAAACCACTGTGTTTGGCTATTCTTGCATCAACATCATGGGTGCTCGGTGGGTTGGTTTGACCTGATTGTGTAAAACTCAGATCACTGCTGAGTTATTGCTGCTACAGAATTTGAAAGAATACAGGGACGAGCTACAGCTTATTTTTTTCCTTTGTCGTTCATACCTGCTCTGGATCCATCAAGCCTTTTAAAGTTGAGACTAATAAAGAATTAAAGGATTCATTAACCAGACAACAATAACAATCGACTCGGTTGCGCTGGAGCTGTTCCAGGTTTTCTCTCTCCAAAAGTGTGGCTATCTTGTTTCCATATTGCAAAGCTGTCTCCAGCTGGCTGTGACTCAGATACAAGTCTTCCAGATGTCGTTACAGAATACTGTGATGAGACTGCCTTTCTGTCTTCCAGTGTTTAATCATGGACAATGAAAGGAAGATACTGTCTTCTTTTGGCAGCATATCATGTGCTCTGGTTCCTAAGTTTATTACATCTTACTCTTTAGAGCATGGAAGAAAATGACTGTAAAAAACAAAGGTGTTTCCTTTCTCCTAGCAAAGTTGAAACCAGGTGTGCAAAATTTTGGTGGCAACACCAAAGAGATCTGGCTAGCTAAAAACACGTATCAAATTACTTGTAATGCTGAAAAAGGTTAATTGGCATATAATTTTTATTTCCATGTTATTTTTGCCTGGACATCATTCATCGGTGTTCAGAAGCTCTGAACTTTCTGCTTATAAAGTGTTTTTAGCAACAGTGGAAATAACCAAAAGGGATTAGTATGAATCTTTTTCCCTTTGGAAAGGGAAAAGAAGGAAAGTGTGACTTGGTTCACTTTTGATGCAGTGCAACATTTGTTAAATTCTTAGGGATGTTTACTTGGATGCCTTAAGTATGTAGAATGGAGAATAAAACTAATGTCAGATGGAATGCAGTAAAGTCACTGTCAGATTAAGTGTCAGCCTTTGTGTGTGTGCATGTGAACACTGCATGTGTTTAAAATGGTACACAGAAATAACTAAATAGAGGAGGTTATATGAAAGGCTGCTGTGTCCCTCTATTCCTGTGTGTAGAACAGAGCAAATCTGGACTATTGCCAGATTATTGCTTGCTGAGTGCATTGGGCCTGTGATGTTTGGCTGCTCTGCAGGAGCAACCCTTATAAACCAAACACTCATTGAAACATAAGGGTGACATTTTGATTTGGTACAAGGCTTTGCACTGACCCTTGCAAGAAGAGCACAGAGTCTTGGTCAATTGTCTTGGTTAATTTGCACAACAAAATGAGGGTGTGACAGTGGCATGGTTAGTAGCACAGGTAACATACTCAAAGGCCAAGGCAAGCAAGAGCACATGTATGTGAGGCTGCTGAGCTGCCTTCGCTGGATGTTAGCTTGTGATGAAGTCACTGCTGCTTTCTTGCTGCTGCTGCTGCTGTCATTCCCTGCCTTAATTAAATAATGTTACAAGTGTGTCTGCTCTGGGGTCTTGCACTTTCCTTATGCTCTGTGTGTGAACCACCGAGATCCCAGCATCCTTAACATCTCGAACTGGGCCTACAAGAGCCGGATGAAAGTAAAGAACAAATGCTTGTTGTGATGACTTTTACTGGTGTGAAGTTTCCGTGAGTGGCGCTGCACAGAGTGGGGCATTGTCTTTCAAACAATCAGCCAAGTCAGCTTCTGTGAGTCTTTGCACTTTCCTTCTTCATACCAGATCAGAGAAGCTCTGCATGCCACAGAGTTGAGCTGTCCTGGATGTATGAGTGTGACCCTAAGTTGGAGCAGGATGAGGGGGGATTAAGGTTCATTGGATTGGCACTGATGAGTTGGCACCCATCAGTCTTGGAGCTTGCTTGGAAAGCATGCAATCAGAGCAGCCCTGTAGGAGCTTCAGTGGTTTCTGCTGCATCTCTGTCTGTGGAAGGGTGGGAGCAAGGTGTTAGTGTTTTGAATGTAACTCTGTGGTAACAGACAAATTCAGGACTTACAGCATCAGGGTTTTGTGAGACCAGTGCAGTTTCATTATTTTGTTCTTTTTGTTCCATAGATCTTGCACTAAAAATGAGAATTACTTGCTTTGGTTATAATTCTGTGATACTGTTTATTATAAATGCTGGTTGCTTGCTTGAGCAAGAAATAAATTGATATTGTCTCTGCTCCAAACAACTAGAATTCAGCATACCTAAATATTTAAAGTATTGCATTATTCTATTGCATGTATCACTGAAATAAAGCAACTGCACCAATGAAGCCAACAAACCTTTAATGGAAGCATTTGCATGAACAGCTAACACCATGTTGGATGTAGTCCACCAGAATAAAAGCACTTTGGGGCTATAATATCTTGTTAAACACATTGTAAATGTTTTTGACAAGAAGCCTGGCAGAATCCAACCAGCCCTGGACAGCCAGCATGTCAGAGCATTTCTGAGTGAGATGTATTATCCTGTCCTGGACTGATAGCTTCAGATAATCCTCTAATCCAAGTGATTGCTTAAATGTTGCAGCCTGCTTAGTTTTTCTTGGTCTGGGATGACTTGCTGCTGGAGAGCTCAGAGTGAATTAAAAAAAAAAAAAACCCAGAAGATTAAAAAGGAAAAAAAAAAATAAAACTAGGACTGCAACACTGTGTATGAATAAATGAATTTACCTCCAGCTGTTCAGGGTCCAGGCTGGACTTAAGGATGTTGTGTCCCAGTGGTGTATTTGCTCTGTTAGACACAGCTCCTGGCTCTGTTTTGACTCTGACTTTGATCTGTTTTTCCTCTGACTGCTGGGATTTTTTGCTGAGGCTGTCAAAGAGAAGGTGACTTGAAGAAGGCAGCGTGATGTCAGTTTTGGTCTGGAGGACACCGAAGCTTTTGCTTGTCCTTGTGTCTGACAAGAGTAACCTCTTTTCTTGTACTGTTTTCCCTCTGCATGTCTTGTGCTCCCACTTCCATCATTACCTCCTTGCAGCAAGGCCAGACTGATTTCATATACAGTAGCCAAAGAACATTTGAGAAGCCCATTCCTTTAGCTGTCTGCTTGATGGTAGAGCAAAGTCGTTTTCTTTGCACTCAAACCACAAAACAATGGGGAGTTTGGAAAGTCTGTGTGGAAGATGCTGTGGAGTGGAGGAATTCAGCTAAGGCAGCTGCCCTGTTCTCACTGCTAGTGAGCAGTGTCACATCAGGATTGTTGATTTTGCCCTTGTGTTGGGGTGGGGGAAAGTCAGGTACTGGGGTAATATTTCAGAGTCCCAGACTGCTTCCTGGCCCCTGCCTCTCGCCAAGAGGACTGAGAAGGGAAATGATGTGCCCTGCACTTGGGCCAGGCTGGCAGCAGAGCAGAGCTCTCCTCCGTGGAGAGAGAACCACCAGAGCCCCACCAGTACCCTGGAGTAGGTGGAGCCTGACCTTCCTCATCTGGTTCTGAGTGGCTGTGTGCCTATTTAATCCCTTCTGTCACTGGCCAAGAAAAGTTAGCACACTAGTTCACAAGTGAGAATGCTGAGAAGCAAAAGATTCATAGCTCACGATTTTCTTACCTCTGCTCTTAATTGTTCTGAGGACAGAGAGAATCCTCCCCCTCTTCCTCCTCCAAGAATCAAAACACTTCTTTGTTTTTCTTGTCTTTTACAGATCAATTTTGTAGCCTGTCAACTGTTTGCACTTTTGGCTGCATTTTGGTTTCGTATTTACTTGAGTCCCAGTCATGCCAGCTCCGCTGTTCGCCATGCCTTTGCCACCCTCTTTGGAATATACTTTGCTGTCTTCTGCTTTGGGTGGTGAGTATTTAGTCACCATTTAGACAAGGCTTGGATAAAAATAATTTTAAACTTCATATCAGCTTTTTTGGATTACATCTTTTTAATGTGAAGGCCCTTAATGCTACCTTAAAAAAAATATCCTAACCAACATAACCATTCCAAACCCTCAAAGTGGAATGACTCATTAAAGTATTTTTAAGTGAAGTATTTAATTTAATTTGTGATGTTTGTTCTGGAAGTTAAGGCCACGCCAGTCTGCTGTGGAGATACCTCCTCTGGAAAAGATGTATCCAACTTGAATGTGCACTTTGAGCCAGGCTACTCTTTCAGTTAAACATATGGATAATATCTTTTTAAGAAGTATCAGTCTGTGTTGGATAGTCAGGCTATAATGATGTCCTGTGGTAATCCACGTTTACTGATACCCTGATATGACATCACATTGATGTCATTTGCATGGAAAAATATTCTCTTGCTCTGAACTACTAGCGCTTCTGGGTAAAATAGAAATTATCTAAATACTCACTTTGTTGTCTTCAAGGTATTCCATTCATCTTTTTGTCCTGGTGATGATGAGCTATGGCATTATGAATATGGCGAGTATTCCCAACATCCACAGGTGAGCTGGTGGGGCTGCAAGTCTGCAGCTGCCCCTCTGATAACTTCTCTGCTTTCAGGGAGAATCATGAAGAGCTTTTAGAGCCACCTTCTCTTCTTTCCTTCCCTTCTTTTCTTTCCCAGTTACTTGCAGAAGCTTTGTTCATGGAGTTACAGAAGCAAATGTAATCTCAATTTGTGGATTTTTTGGGTTGATGTATTGCATTTTCCTAAGAAATTGCTGGCCTTAAAATTTGACTTTTGCAGGCATAATAATTTATGGACAAACCTTTCATTTCTTAAACATAATGAACTCATATTCTCCTTGGTCTTGTATTCTTCCAGATTGCATTTGATAATACTTTTTAATGTGTTTTCCCCATTGCTGTTTGGCCTTTAGGTATTTTCCACTTATTCTTGAGTTAGGTTGTTCAAATAAGGTCACTGAGGCAGCTTAGCTTAGTGATCCACAAAATGAGGTCTTGCTTTGTGAAAAAGTAGAAAATACCAGAACTATTATTGCTTAAAGTAGAAGCTTATGGTTTGGGTGTGTGACAGTTGTTTTCTGTCTCTGCACTCTCTGACTATCTCTGTAGCTGCTGCTGAATGCTGAGAATCCGCATAAATCTGGGCTGGGGAATGGAAACCCTTTCTTCATTTGCCTTCAAGGCCAGGGCTGTCTGAGAATCTGATGGTCAGATAATCCTCTCACCTTCCTTTTTTCCTGAAGAGACCCCTCTCTAAATGGGAACTCTACTTATGATTTTTCTAATATTATCTAGAAATGTGAACTGTAAAAACACTCCTGTCTACTGCAGTTACTAGCATTTTGCACCAGCAAGATAGGGTATTAACAAGGTATTTTTTCCACCCTTTCACAGAGTGCAAAGCCCAGAAGTGTAGAGGTAATTAATAATGTCATAAAAAAGAAAGGCAATTGGACAATGTTTGTTAAAGAAATGCCATCCAGAGACCAAAATAAAAAGGTGTTAAAAATTTGTAGTATGGTTTCCTGGTCATTGTCCCTCCATGTCACTTGAGGGAAATGCAGGAGTTAGTGGCTGTAGATCAGAAGAACTGAGTCTACAAAGGAATCATCCACTAGTTATATACATCTTCCCAGACAACTTGGGGTGGTGATAAGGAAAAGAACACAGCTTCAACAGGAAACCCCCTTACTCTTCCTCTTTAGCCAATTAGCCACAGTGGCTAACAACAAAATAGCTTTATACTGAAATACAAATCAAGCTAGTTTGTATAATGTCACCCACTGCTGCAAGACAGTCATGTGTTGATTTGAGTCAATGTGAAATGCCCTTCCAACGCGCTGAAAAACCTCAGGAGTTCTGAGGGAGGATTGAGGTGGGACTTTTCTATTGTATTCTACTAGTCACAGCAGTGTGACTCAAAGCACATCCACATTTTTAATTTTGTCAAAGTAACAATGTATTCAAACCAGTTGAGAGTAAGCTAGAACAAGGCCACTTTAAGGTCTTGACATGTTCATATAGGGGAACTGATCCCTCAGAGCAGGGCTTCAAGACTTGGCTCTTTATTCCCCCAGAAAAACACAGTGGAAGAGAGCAAATTAAATAAACTGCATAATTTAACCTTCATACTCTTTTCTCTGGTTATTTTTTGCTAGTTTGCTCTCTGGCGAAGCTGCTAGCCTTCAAGGCATATAGATGGACAAATTAATCCAGCATCAGAAATGCTCCCAGCTGCAGCAGCAGTTCAGTGTATCTCTCCCTGCTTGCCCCCTGTTTCAGTCTAAGTGCTTTACACCTCAGCATGGGGGCTTATTTTAGATCCTTCATCGTGCCTCTTGCTGTTTCATGTCTGAGCTGGGTGATTTGCCTTTGGATGGATGTTTTCCATGAGGAGAAACCAAGGACCTTGCTGAGGCAGGACTGGATGCCTGACCCAGATAAAATACGATAAGTTATACTCTGAATCTCCTGAAGAATCTGTCATGTCCCTTCAGTCTGCTTTTCATCCAGCTGTTTGCTGTGGGCCACATGACCCACAGGTTGCCTTGTGATCCATCACTGTCACTCACACTGCAGTTTATTAGCCCCCAGGGAGGAAAAACTCATTTCTTTTAAAACCAGCCATAATTTGACAAAGGTCTGGCTCTTTTTCGGTTGTCTGCTTCCTGATCCTCTTGCCTGATTTCACCTTTAGTTCTCCCGTGGCGGATGTTCTCATGGGTCTGTGGAGGAAGCTTCTTGGCAGTGTGTGCTGACCAGCCTCCCGAGGCTCAGCCCTACCAGGCATGCAGGATGTGCCATCTCCTTCTGTAGTCTGTTGGTCTCTGCCTCTTCTCCCCTACGTGGATAACCTCTGCTATGGAGGACACCAGTAGACCTGGTCCTGGCCTGTCCATGTGGTGCCAGCCTTTCATTCTGGTGTCCCAGCTCTCCATTGCACAGTGTAATTTGCTTCATGTGTCAGTCTGTCTCCAAACATCCATCCACTTCTTTCCTCCCCAGTATCCTCTTCCTTGCTCATGTAAATACAGGGAGAAGTACTTGTATGAAAGGCTGCGTCTGCCCATGCAGACACTGCAATATTTTCAGTCTTCAGACTGTTCAGCTGTTAAGGTAGAATCACGCTCCCGCCCTGCCCAACAGAAGTGTGCTATCATCTTGAAACACAGAGTGAATTTGTCATATCCTACCTAAGGAATGCTTCTGAAGTGATCTTCTAGGTCCTTTCCAATCTATCTGATTCTATGATTTTTCTGGAAGATGGTGTGCTTCAGTGTGGAGAGCTGAAAAAACTGGACTCTGTGCCATCATCTGCCTTTACATAAAATCATGTGAGAGAGAATACCTTAAGCTTGAGATATTTCAGTCTTTGCTAGATCTGAGGAAGAGTTATACATAAAGAACATTTACAGACAAAAATGCAGAGGATAACTTCAGTGAATGACATACAGTATCATCTAGTTTCAAATACTTAAGTTGGACAGAAATTTCAAAATAATATATGAAAATGGGAACTTTGAAATTCAATTTTGCAACTTGAGCTGATCCTATTTCTTCTTCCATTTTTTCCCTATCCCCAGAATGAGGAGACACCTCTGTAAGGTTTCAGCTGAGTACACAAAACCATCAGCCCCCTTTGAGAATTTCTTCCAGATCTTGTAGCATGACTCCAGACTTTTTAACAATTTGATTTGAAAAAATAGAAACAAGCCCAACCCAATTTGAGTGATTCTAGTTCTTGTTGGTACTTGTGTTGGTAACTGTGTGTTCTGTGTGTTGTGTTTTTAGGTACTCCTTTGTCGTAGCTATGGGATACCTCACATTGTGCCACATAAGCCGAATATACATATTTCATTATGGTATTCTCACTACAGATTTTTCCGGGTGAGTGAGTCTGCAAACTGTTTCCCATGTCAATCAGTATTAGTTGATGTTAGTAAGTTGTAAGAATATTTTTTTTTTCTTTGTGGAGTACCTGCAATTTTGTTTCCCTTAAGCTTTTTCTGAGGCTTTTGTTGTGATCTTTGGGGTTTTGTTGGGGATTGTTTTGTTTTGCGTTTGGGTGCGTTTCTTTTTGGTTTTTTGTTTGGGTTTTGGTTTTGTTTTTTTTTTTAAAGGAATAAGCACTGTATGATTTTTGTACTGATTCATTGTTTCTACTGATTTCTTGCTATAAGCTGTGTCGTTGGGAAGGTAGAGCTTAGTTATCTAGCCAGGTTTCCCTGCAGAGCAGCCTGGGAGGATAAGCTGGGCAGTTTCTCCCTGGAACTGTAGGACTGGCTTAAGTGTCTGATGCTGTGCTCCCTGGTGGTGGGGTGGGCTGCTCTTCTTCCAGCTTCCTAGGCACAGCTGTCAGCTGGCTGTCTCCTTTCCTCCATTGTGATTTATCTTGAAGCCCCAGCTGGGAAGCTGTTTCCCAGCCCCAGCTCTCCAGGGTGTGAGGGCAGGACTTGGGCAGGGGTGAGTTGCTGGTGGAGGTGGATGAGTAACCCAGGCAGAGAGACAAGAGATCAGCTTGGGTTGTCAGGGATGATTCTCTCATGGGGCCAGCTTGTGGCTGCTGCTTAAATAGCACAACTTTTTCTATGCTGTGGTATGTGTGAAACAGTTTTCATACTGTAGTCTCTGCTTTCACTCAGAGAAGCAGTGGAGGATGCTTTGCAGAGATAGAGACAGCTAACCCTATGTGCTTTGTTTGTGAGAGGAAGGTATGCTTTTGTGTGATTTGAAACCAGCATGCTAATCTGTATTCCACTTGTTTAATTGAATGTCTGAAGGCACAGTAATTAGTAACATACCATGAAAAATTTGTTTAAACTCACACAGTAAGTTTTACACAACTCTTCCAAGTCTCTTTCATCTTACAGACACAGAGTAGGAGAATGAAGGTTTTTGCTGTCTTTGTGCCCGTGTCTCTCTCTTTAAGGTGGTGGGTTTCAGCATTTAATTAAACTTCAGGTGGTGAAGTTTCTCTCAAACTCCTGAGGTTTTTTTATTAAGAAGGCTGCAGCAATAGGAACTTATGTGTTAAAAGATATTTAGTTCTGTAATTTTTTCTACAGTTCTTTTAATACACAAAAGCATGTACTCAAAGAGCATGTCGTACCAAGAAGGCTATAAATGGGATTGGAATGTTATAACTCAGTGTGTGTAAGAGACAGAGAGAGAAATGAGAGAGATCATGCTTTTCTGAATACTGTGTTCAGAAATGCACTGTGATGCATATTAACTCTCTCTCTCTCTCTGAATACATTTAATAAAGATCCAGCTGAGACTGGGGGCAAAAGAAGAGGAATGGTAGTTTTTATGGATTAAGTAGTGTTCTCTGCTCCCTTGATGGAAAAGTAATTACACTTATTTAATGATGAGCTTGAGGATAATAATGGTAGTGAAAAAACAATGCTTGAACTTACACTGTTATTTGATTTTGACTTGATGCCTCAAGATACACACCGATTCCTAAACTTCAGTCAAAAATAAAACTACCAAGTTGTAAACAAGTGGAAAATGTACTACAGATATGAATTGCACCTTCATGGTATACTTTAAGAGCTAAGAATAAATAAAAATACTGTAGTGGTATCAATAAAAACTTGCAATCCAAAGTGTTGAAACCCAGATCCTCCTCATAAATCTGTCTTAAAACCTGTTTTCTTCAGCTGTAAATATGTTCCCATTGAAGCTTTTTGCACATACCTGAACAGATGTAATGACCCAGAGAGACAAAATATACTCCCTGTACACAGTTTTACTATGTATGAGCAGCAACTGAACCTCCTCTTACTTGTTCTCCCATGTTTAATGGTTCCTCATCTGTTGCATGTGGTAATAGGGAATCATTAGGACAGGGTCTGGCTGGGAGGATGGCATTAAAGTTCTCCCTCAGGGTTTCAGAAATGCGTCAGACTGAACCATGGAGATGTACCCATCTCCCTCCAGCCTTCCACAGTTTTGGGTGAATGTGCCTGGGGATATATGTTGAGAAGGCAAGACACTGGATTTGGAGGAATCTTTAAGATGCAACAAAAACCCCATCAGCTGCTGACTTGCATTTGAGGTTTCAGTACCCCATAAGTCTGGTGCTATCTGCTTGCAAGGAGGAAGTTTTAATCCACATCAAATAGGCACATAACCAGTTCTATTGCCATCAGCTTTCCAATGTCATTTCCCTGAAGTGATGAGCCATTGAGTGTTTCCCAGTGGCAGTGCTGTAAGCCAGGGTCCCTTATTTGCTCTCTTGATCTGCCTTGTGCAATTAACAATTTGCATACATAACACTTTTGAGGTGTGCTTGCAAATACATTTTTAGAGTGTTTTTTCTAATAGTAGATCGTGCTATTTGTCTGGGAGCCCTCCCATTTCGAGAACAGATCTTGTAAAATGCAGGTAGAGATGGAGAGAACAAGGTAACTTTTTAGTCATATCTTAAGCAAATTGGAAAATGAAAGATCAAGCTGTGGCATATCACTTCCAGGTTACAAAATAAGAAATAAGGGACTTCTTACCTGCTGGTGATTAGTTAATTCTTAACTCCTGCAAAGGGAAGGTTTGGTCACTGAGTCCCACTGTTAAAACTGTATTCAAGCTGCTTGCAGCTTTTTCTCAGTTTAAGTGTTCTTAATGCATAATACTTAAGGAAAAACCTGTGGGCTTTTTAAAACTACTGCCAGGTTTTAAGGAAAACAATTTCCAGCTTGCTGCAGTTCAATTCTAATTATTTTTTTTAAATGTGTATATATTTTATCAAATTACTTTCAGTTATAATATTTCTCAAATAAGTGATGATGTAATTTAGGAATTTTCTCTCTATTGCTTCTTCAAAAATCCTATTTGTTTTTGAATGCTAATTGTACAGTGACTGCATCCTGTGCTTCCCCCTTAATTCAAATCAATCTTTGAGAGAAACATGCATGTTTTATTTTGCTTGGTTTGCTATTAAATTTATACATTGTACCTGGAAAAACTAAATCCTAACTCTTTCTCTCTCTTATTTCTTCTTCTTTATGCTAAGAGGATTATGCTGGTAAGTTGCCTGCCTATACAACTTTATAAAAACCATAATAATATCATACAGTTTGTGTTTTTTTCCTTTGTATCACAGGCTCAGATTGAGTATAGCAATATAATAGCTTTCAGGAAAATTAGTTTAAAATGAGGAATCTTGATTCTGATTTTTGGAAAGTAGTAATAGGTAGGATTTCAGTCGCACAAGCTTCATGACCAAATGCCAGATGCACATGATCATCCACATAAAAGTCAGAAGGTATGGAACTTGTGTCTGTTTCAATTCTTTGCTTAATTTGGGCCATAGAGCTTTTTAGTGTCCTCTTTCAATTCTCGCAGTGTCTGAGTAAAATTTCCTAATATTACAGGTTTTTCAGTGAAATGTCAGAGAATGATTGTGTGTACGGGAGTTTCTTTCATATATGAGTAATGGCTGAGAAATCTGGGGTTGTTTAGCCTAGAGAACAGGAGGGACCTTATCACTGTTTACAACTGCTTGAAGGGAGGTTGTAGCAAGGCTGGGGTAAGTCACTTCTCCTATATAACAAGTGACAGAACAAGAAGAAATGGCCTCAGGTTATACCAGGAGGGCGTTAGATTGGATTTTAGGAAGAGTTTCTTCATGGAAAGTGTTCCAAGCATTGGAACAGGCTGCTTAGGGAAGTGGTGGTGTCACCATCCCTGGAAATGTTAAAAAAAAAAAAAAACAGTTATGGCACTTGGGGACATGGTTTAGTGGCAGTTGGACTAAATGATCCTAGAGGTCTTTTCTAGTCTTAATGATTCTATAATTCTTGCTACCATTCCTTACAGAAGAGAAACTCAGTTTGTGAAGATCACCACATGCAGTGTTCAGTACTGGTCTTAGGGAGACCATAGCTGAAGTATCTGGGAGACTTGAGCAGTTTTGCTCCCCATATCTGTCAAATCTGTAGCTTTTACACAAATGCTTTGGTGGACATCACTCTCCAGACACCCCCTTTGTGTTTTCCCTATCCCAAATGTGGAGCAGCAGCAGCATTCTCAGCAAACCACCTAGAAAGGGACAATTGTTGAGAGAACCCTTTCAAAAAGCCACATATATAAGCAGATGCTTCAGTAAGTTAAAATGTCACTTCAGGCAGTGAATTTTTGTTGGGTGGTTAGTGCTTTGTTGCTAGTTTTTCCTCTCTCGGTGGCTTCTAGTTTCAACCACAAAAGGAAGGAATAAAAGTACAGCAGCCGTTTTTCACAAAGGAACTACATTTGCTGATGAAAGCAAAGATAGATGTTACCATGTGAAAACACAGAGCAGAAATGCTGTCTGTTCCTGCAAGTTCAGTTGGTTATTTTTATTTTCTTGTCTTCTAAATGTATGACATGCAGTATATTGCTGCAGTGTCTGTTCCTGCAGTGCTGGGTAACTTTGGTGTGCAGCTGGTCCCCAGAGGCAGTGCAGCAGTGCAGGTGCAGGGTGAGTAAGGGGGGTCAGTCCGTTTGCCATGCCTGCTTGCTGCTTTGCTGCTCAACTTGGTGCTTGTCCACTGGAAACAGCCTTGAGATCACTTACCATTGGAGTCACAGGAGCCCTGCAAGAACTGCTGTGTGGGAACTAGGCAGATTTAAAGCAGGCTATCACTACTAGAGAGCTCCACACATCTAGTACATCCCTGGACACTTCTCCAGAAGTAAACACTCTTTTAAATGAAATGTTTCTATCATGAAAGCTTCAGAAATACTTCACACAGACACACAAAAAAAAGGCAACACATCACATGAAGGAAACTGTAAGTTGCTTTGGAGTGGCAAGTGTGTTTAGTGAAGTGTTTTTCCTCTGATCTACTTCAGTACTTCTTCCTTGTACTGTTGAAAGCAAAAGTACAAGCTCACTGCCAGCTTGGCCATCCCCTTGTCAGCAATGGTTACTGTCACAGCAGGGTGTGACTGTGTGAACTTCTTGTCATGGCTTCAGCGCTGCAGAGGTAGCCCTGAAATACATGTTCTCTGTTTTGGAGTCTTGTCTGCTATGAGCTGTTTGACTCCACCTCCTCTCTTAGTGAAATCAGGTCAGTGGAAACTATTTCTAGTAAGCGTGTGCCAGACTTCTCCATGGGATTACCTAAGGTCAAGCAGACTGTGCTTGGAAAACGTCTTTTCTCTCATAAGCATCGAAACTTGCTCAAGTGCAAAAGCCAGCCTGTGATATAGTGAGGACCCCCACAGCAGTCTACAAACAAAACATCTTTACTTCCACTGGCCTGTGCTTCTGGCAAATTTATTGCATTGGGGCAAGCTGTATTTAAAAATTATATTCACTGATATGTTCTCATTTGGAAGGGTTATTTAGGAGACTAAACCCTTCTATTGAGCATTCTCTGTAAACAGTTGCATCTTAGTCTTGTGTTATTTTTCAAGGCATCTAATGTGAAGTAAACAAAAACCCAAAGCTGTCTTTACCTTACGTTAAATGCCTTGAAAAATAAAATTGTCCTTGGGTCAATTTCTTGATTTTTTTTTTTTAATGAAAAGTTGGCCACTATGGCTTGTGTGTAAGAGGTACTGCACAGCTACAACCTAAGATTAAACTCATGGCCAATATATAAAACATGGGAAGGGAGGGGAAATCACACTACAGATAAATCAGATTCTCCGATTCTGTGGTAGTTTGTATCTGTAGTGCTTAATAGGACAGGTGAAGAGGGTGTGGAATCACCACTCAGCATGTGGCGGCAAAGCAATTGGTAGGTGTTCAAATGTGATGGATTGCAAATTGTTTAGGCTTCTAAATGTGTTTTATTTCAAATGCTTCCTTCCTAGGGATAAGTCTTTGTGCTTCATCTGTAGTAGGTAGATTTTCTTTTTGAATTCAACCTAATTGCTCCCCTCCAAAAACCTGTGCATCACAAAATTTGGGAGTAAGAAAAGGTATTGGGAGGTTTATAGTTTTGTTAACTTCCTTTCTTATTTTTAGCAATATTGACTTTTTCCAGTAGAGTCTAAGGGTTAAAATAGTATCATGTTGGAAACAGTTGAGTGTATGTAATATGGAGCTGTATTTAATGTATTAACTTACTCAATATTTCATTGCTGTTTAAAGTTACAGCTTGCCTGAAAGGCTGAATAGAAATGGTAATTCAATACTCTGGTATTTCAAAGTTTTAATAATCAAACCTCACATGTTTAGGATTTTATGGTTTTTCCCTCCCCGCTCCCCACCTTTGAGGGAGAGTTCCAGTAATGTAATTATTTAGTTGTGCTCTGTCTTTTCCTGCAGCAACACGGTCTCCCTGAGATCAAGTCAGTGGGGAATGGTGGGCTGGAAGAGAGGAGGGAGGAGAATGCTCCTTGTTCACCTGAAACATTGCTTATCCTTTGTGTGAAGTCTTGGCTGATACCTGACACTGATCTCGTGAAAGATTTAGTGTGTGTCATCCTGTGGCCACTCTACAGCGTTTTCCACCCACCTGAGTAGGGTAGAAAAGAGATCACAGAATCAGTTAGGTTGAAAAAGACCTCTGAGATCATCAAGTCTAACTTATGCTCGATGGCTACTGTGTCAATTAGACTGTGGCACTGAGTGCCACATCCAGTTGTTCCTTAAACACCTCTAGGGACAGTGACTCCACCACTTCCCTGGGCAGTGCATTCCAATGTCTAATCACTCTTTCTGTAAAAGTTTTCCTTAGATGTCTAACCTAACCCTTCCCTGGTGCAGCTCAAGAGAAGAGACTGACTCCCACCTGGCTACACCCTCAGGCAGCTGTAAAGAACAACAAGGTCCCCCATGAGCCTCTTTTCTCCTAAACAATCTAAACAATCCCAGCTCCCTCAGTCATTCATCATTGGACTTGTGCTTCAGACCCTTCCCCAGCTCCGTTGCCCTTCTTTGGACATGCTGCAATCCCTCATTGTCCCCTGAATTGAACTGAACACAGGATTGGAAGTGTGGCCTCGCCGGTGCTGAGTACAGAGGAACAATCACTGCCCCAGTCCTGCTGGCCACACTATTGCTGATACAGACCAGGATGCCCTTGGCCTTCTTGGCCACCTGGGCACATGCTAGCTCCTGTTCAGCTGGCTGTTGACCAGCCTCCCCCAGGTCCTTTTCTGCTGGGCCACTTTCCAGCCACTCTGGAAAATATGTATGACATGTAATATGATGATATCAGGAGGGAGAACAGGAGGTATCTAATGATACTTCCTTCCCACTCACCTTGACAGACATGTCACTTTTGTTATTCCTTGTCTCCTCTGGAGCTGGGAGGTTTGAGGGAGAAAGACTGTCCATCTTTTCTGATGAAAGAGCAGGAAAGGCTGACTTGTTTTGTTGGCTTACAATGTGCCATCAATGAAGCAATGAATTCCTAATATAGATGAGGAGAGCCTCTCTCCTCTGTGTTTATATGTAGTATGACATCAGTGCAGGCTTTACTCCTGCTGCCCTTGGATTGTTTGCATTTTGGTTCTCTCTGGTTTACCATGGGGGCCTTGTCTAAGACAAGTGTCTAAATTTAGACACTTGAAGTCATACAGTTTTGGCTTAGAGCCTGAGGTTTAAAGTTACCCACTTCAATATTGGCGTGAAGTGCTTGCCATAAGAAACATATACAACAAATTGAAGCAATTTGAAGCAAGTGTTAATGTTCCCCCATAAAGCTAAAAAGGTCAAACACTTTCAAAATAAAAATTTGTGGTTATTGCAATAAAATGGCTTGATTCAGTGATAGCCTCTGTTTCTCTTAAGGATTAAAAAAAAAATCTGCCTTTTCATATGCTTAAAGGATTAGGATTTATGTGTCTTTGAAAGCAAAGCTGAATTTTGTCTGGGAAAATCTACTTTGAGAAACAGGATGTTGAAGATAATGGTAAAAACAGCTTATAAATCACTTTTCTTGAAAGATTAATTGGAATAAAGTTGAGAATGACTGTTTGACAGTATTGCTGGAAGGTGAAAAGTCATTGTTGAATTTGTCCATTCCTTAGCTACTATCAGTGGTCTAGGTGACCCAAGAAGAGCTGCTGTACAAACCCCTCTGTTACAATTTTATTCAAGTTCTGTGTATATTTAAGCCTATTTTGAATTTTTTTGTGCAAACTTTTTTAATTGGCAGGTGAAGTAGGTACTTCTGAAATTATAAAAGCAGTTTCTGATTAAATAATTGGCTGATATGGCATGTTCTGGTTTTGGGTAGAAAATGCAAATTACCCTCACAGAATTGTGGTCTCTTGAAAAAGTGTTTTAAAAAACCCCACTTAAAATGAAAGAATGTCTTTTGCCAGTATTTGTGTGTTTACCATGCTCAGCCTATGAATTATCTTGGGAATCTGTTTGATTTATATTAGGGGGGTAATCAGGTTGTAAACAGTTTACCTTAGCCATTGGGTTTACATTTGATTGTAGCCAGTAGGTTGATTTAGTTAAGGATGATCCAGAATCTCTTGAAAATCTCCACAGAACATAAGTATTTGACTGTTATTTTAGACAGAGACATCAGTGAATGTAAGTTCCACAGTTTTTTCTTTACCTTGAGAAATCTGTGACAAAAAACACAGTTCTTGAACTAAAAAAAAAAAAAAACTCAACTTTTTTCTTTAATTATGTTCCAGAAAATATATTTCAGTAGTTAAAATGAAGAGCTGTAATGTTTGGAGCAATCATGTGTGTCTCTTAAAAAAGTTCCATATACTAGTCAAACAGTGTAAATAGTTAAATAAATGTGTACAAAATCAAGTTTTCATTTCCAGGTTGAAGACATCATTTGTGTTCAAACAGAAACCTCCATCTGATTAATGATGTCAATTTATTCTCCAATGGAGACAACCCATTGTATTAATCCTCAGTGAAGGCAGATCTCTTGTGGGACTGGTTTTACATATAGTCATCACAACTAATGCTTTTAAAATGTGGTGTATCCTCATCAGCCATTCCCATCTTGCGGCTATTGTGGTTGTGAGTGATCTGGGCACCCTGTGCTGCTGTCCCCAGTGGCAGAGAGATTGGGAGAAGCAGTGTGATGGGTTGCTCATACCTTGGTTTGCCTGCCACGGGTCCTTCCAGATGTTCAGCACCAGGCTTCATGCCTGGGGTGCCACCCTCAACTGATTGAGGAAATGGTCAATTATCCCCGTGGTTTTCCTCCCATCTTTCCTCTTACCATCCTCTAAATGCTCTTGGCTGTGTCCTTTATCCTTGTGGGAAGCAGCTCCTGATGCCACCAAGCTGAGTTTAGTCTTTTTCCCCATTCCTTAGCTGCAGCAGCTCACATTTGCCTTCAGTGCCAAGAAGCTCTGTAAAGCTGGATATGGGAAGTATGAGTGGCCCCACTGGGAGCAGTGGCTATTTCTGTGCGGAGTGTTTAGTTGGCACCAAAGCTGCTGGGCTTCTGCAAGCCTGCCTCGGGTACAGCCAGCTCCTTTTTCCAGAGGCTCCAGATCCCACATGCCCATACACTCCCAGCTGGATGGTGTATCTTGTACGGGCTGTTCACAATGCAGATGCGTGGCCAATAAGCAAGTTGGAAACTGCTGTGCTGACAGCTATTCTGGTATTTGCACACAGTCCTAATTGATAGAGCTATTCATGTGGGGAAATAAGCATCTGTATCTGCAGAGTCAACATTTTTTAGGGCACTGAGGAGACAGACAATAGAAGAGTAACAAACAGTAAGAACAGCCAGAGTTGGGTTACAGCAGCACTGCTGTATTCTAGTGTTTCATTGTATGGGGCTTCAATTTGCTCTTTGCCTGAAAAGAAGCTCAGTGGGCTGCAGAAGCTGGTATTTCCTGGTGGTGTGAGTTCTTCTGAACTACAATTTGCAGTGTTGCACGATAAGGAGATATAAAATAAGGCTTTGTGTGCACTTAGCAATTAAAAATTCCAGTGCAAGTTACTGTGGGGTTGTTTTGAACCCAGGCAATTGTCTTATGCCTGAGTGCTTGCTTCAGCTTTAATTGGATGCTTTCCACTTGTTGCTAATACAGTTATGCCTTTTAAAGGCATAAAGACATTCAGTGAGAAAGTTGGGAATAATTTGTATTACAAGACATGTAACTGTTGTTTCTGTCTTTGTTATAGTCCGCTGATGATAATTACACAGAAGATCACAACACTTGCATGCCAGCTGCATGATGGTAAGAAAAGGAATCTCTTCCCATGTTCTGAAGACAGCCTGTATATACCAGTGATTTCTATGGTTGATTTATGGAGTGAATGAATGTAGTTCAGTGAGTTGTTTCAAATGAAGAGGAAAAACGCTTTATGGAGGAAAATGGGAAACTTAAACTTTTGATCAGTTTTTAGGCTCAAACTGTCTTTGCAATATCAGCGCCAACTGTTTTCCCCTTTGGGTATTCTACTTCCTTGGGCCCCAATTTGGATTTTAGCTAGTACCAGTATCTCCTGTTTAGATGCTGCAGTGCATCTCCATTAAGTTCTCTGAAGCTGTTACCGATTCTCAGAAGTCAAGAGCTGTTGATACATATGTTCAGTCATTCATGTTAATTTAGCAAAAAAATATGCTAGACCTGATATATGTGGTGGTAATGTACTCCATGAATTGTGAGAGATAGAATTCAGTAGCTTTTCCCCAGTGCTGAGAGAAGCACAGTTGCAAGCAAAATAGCATTGTCTTCAGTCTTGTGCTGTGCTGTGACAAAGAGCGCTATTATTTCCCTGTAAAACGCCTGTGTCTAGTACAGTGCAAGGGCTAAAAATGTCACTTGTCATCAGTAGCATTATTGCTTGTGCCTACTGATGTTGCCATGTGAATTTCTGATGGTCTGAGGCCCACTGCCTTACAAGCTGTGGGTGACTGAATAAGTGCCTTGCTATAGAGTTGTGAGCAAAGATTTAGGTGATGGCACACGGGGGCCTGGCATTGTTTGCAAGCCAGGTTTGCACAAGTGGATCTAATGCTTTTATCTGGGTATAATAGATACAGCTGTAAGCTTGGCTAATTTACCATGTTGGCATTCATGTTGTCTAGATTTATCTGCTTCTGTAAGTTGAGTCAGCTCAGGAATTGCTGCAATTCCACAGCAGCCAAGGCACACACCTAGGATATTGAAGGTAAACGACCAGACAGAAAGGAAAAAGACAACAGCAGAGGTAGAAGCATTCTAAACAGACAAGAAATCCTACAGATTAATGGTGGTGGAAAAGGCTCATTACATTGCCAACACCCATATATGGAGCAGTTGATCAAATGAAGGCAGCTTGCAGTTCAAGCATCAGTGGCAAATTTGTATTTGTAAAAATTTTAACACAGCTGTCAGTAAATGGAAACAGACAAACAAAATACCCAGTTCTTTAAGTAATTAAGTGCTAATTGTTTCTCTGAAATTCAGGCCCTCCCAGTATTTACAAACTGAAAGAGTGGAGAGAGAATGTAAATGAGCAGCTTATCAGCAGTCGTTTTAGGATGTGGGTCCTGTGTCTGTATTGGTAATTATGGCCAATATGTTTAGAACAGTAGTGACAATTGGTGCCAAGCCCTGATCTTCTGGGGCTGTGCACGTGGAACTGTGCACATACTCCACATGAAGTCCTGTGACTCATCCAGTGTAGTTCTGCTGAAGCCAGTGGGATTCCCTGCAGTATGTGCAGCTAAAGTTCTAGGGTGAAGGTTTTGAGGTATGTGCTATAAGCGGTATCTGTTTACCACTGGCCATGACACAAGATTTTTCCATCGTTTTCCTGGGACATTGAGTTTATGTGCTACCTCTGGCCCCAAAGGTCTTGTGCACTCAACAGGAGGTCACCCTTCCAGTCTGGACCTTGTACAATTCCAGATTATTACTGATGTGGATGTTTAGGCTTGCTCCAGCAGCAGGCAGCTGGGCTGCTCGTTCACACCAGTGGAGCTTCTGTTCCCTGAGTGCCTGTTTCCCTTCCCCTGCCCACTCCTCCTGCTGTGAAATGCTCCATTTCTCACCAAGGAGCCAGCGGGAAGCCTGTGTTTAAATGAGCCAGCAGCTTCTGGCAACAGAGGTTTTTCCAGCCCAGGACAGTTTGTAGAGGTTGTTGGGGGTCGCAGCCAGTTGGTGGCATTGCCACTTCCATTGTGTGTGTGGGAATGCTATCTATGGCTGCTCTTCCTGACAGTGTAGCCAGGGTGAGAAGGGGGGAATGAGGTAAGGAACTGGGTAAAGAGGTAGAGTAGAACTTGACATAAAAGTTAGGGATTAAGATGTTTAAAAACCACCTGTGACAGAATTTTTGAAATTATGGCTTTTGAAATTTATTTGTGGGGTGCAAGCATAAAGCTTTGGGAATAGCTGTTACTGTTTGTCTTTTGGAAAGATCTAATATGTCTTTTCTTTCCAGGAATAGGACGACAAGCTGAGGAACTCACTGCTGAGCAAAATCGGCTTGCTGTAAAGTAAGGATGTAATTATATGAGTTATTTGTGTCTAATTTCTTCCAAAGAAGTTGACTGTTTAGGTTGTTTGTTATTTGTTCTTTTGTTTTGTTTTGGGTTTTGTTTTTCATTACAATGTCAGGGACAGAATAGTGTCCCAGCCATGGAAGTGTTTCCTGCTGCTTTCCAGTCCATGAGATGCCAAAAGTCCTACATGCCTTTTCTACTTGCTTGAGAAGTTTTGTTTTTGTAATGCTGCTGTCATCACCCTCCTTACACAAACATACCTTCTCCCTTTTATTCCTTTTTTCTTCAGTTCAGGACTTCTCCTTTTATCACCTGCGCTGGTCAGCAAAGCACTGAAGTACTTAGCAATGTCTCATTGACTTGAATATATACTCCACATGCAACAGAACAAGTCTTTGCTGTATTAACTCTTTTAAATTCAGGCTAAGACTATACTATACAGACTTGTTGGCTGTTATCTTCATCTGATCTGTGATGTTCTATTATTCCAATAAATTACTCCTCCCCTGTCAACAATCTACTACATAGTAAAATTCCATTTTGGTTTGAGTCTGACAGTTCAAGTGCCACTTTTCCTTGCCATAATTTTTGCACACTGGATTTTATTTTTTTTTTTTGTCTCCCTCCATATTGTTAATACTCCTAGGTCTCTGCATTATGCAACTCCTCATTTTTCATATGGAGAGAGGACCTCTTAGAGCACCCTTTTTTTCCTAGGTTATCTCTCAATGCAAGTGCAACATGTGAGTGTTTTGCTGTTGTTGTTTTTTAGAGGTTTTTTAAAATTTGTTTTTTAATGAAGAATTAGTGTTACAGAATTACTCTTAAAACCATAACTACTTTTCATAATGATATGTTTGTTATGACCAAGGAAATTATGTCCTTAATTTCCAAGGCAGAAGATTCAGCCATCAAAAAATCTGCCTATGAACTTCAGAAAGTAAGAGAGTCATTTTTTGAAAAGCAAAAATCTTGTAGGTAGCTGTGACCCCATAGTATCTATTTTTAAAGCTCACAGCATAATTTTTAACTTCACTTGGCCCTTAATTCTAGTCAAATTCTCACTAAACAGGCTTGGTTTTTTTCTTGTACAGTAGATGAGTTCATAATAGAAAAGAAGATGCCAATAGCTCAAGTGTCAGTGGCAGACAAGTCATAACTGAAGAGTTTTAAATCCCCTTTGGTAATATAGTCTTTTGTCTTCCCTCCTGTTCTTGGTCTGTTTTTGTTTCTCACTCATCCTCTGTACATTCCTTTGTGCATTGCTCATGTCTCCCCACCCAACCATGTGCAGAACCCAAGTTGAAACTAATGACTTTATTTTTAATCTTACCGTAGAGCTGGGAAGCCCACATCATGGACCTGTTTTTGCAGGACAGAAAGATGACTCTTATCCCAAATTGTTTGCTTCATCTTTCTGTGAAATGCTTTCACTAGAGAACATACCATTTAGGCACTAACATCTACAATAACCAGTAGGGTGAATGCAGAAAATCCTTGCTAATCTAACTGTTTATTCAGACTAATTCCACTTCAGAATAGAAGCAGGCAACAGAAAATGTTTAACTGTTGCTTAGTTTTTCTGCTACAAATTTGTTTTAGTCTTAAAGAATTTTAAGTGTGTTTTGGTTATGTGTGTCCATCTGTGTCTTGAGCAGGAGAGCCCTCAAGCACTGTGCCCGAGTTTGTGTTCCCATCTGAGGGCTCCATGTTTACTTGAATGGTAACAATTAGGACACTTGTGGAGAGCACTCACTCTAATGCAGTGCAGAACACAGTGCACAGTTTGGATGTTGGCATTTTCTGCCACATAAAAACTCCAAAGCTGCTGAGAGGCCTTTGCAGCTTTCTTTTTCCATCGTAATGATCTGTAGCAAAGGCAGTGGTTCTTCTTAAATTTACATCAAATGTACAGCCCCAGAAGGAACTGGTGGAATGTGCACTTGCAAAATGGAGAAAAAGTAGTATGACAGACCTTCTTTGACTTTCATCTTCATCAGTCTTTCAATTAATGTGTTTTTTTTCCCCTTAGTTCCTTTTCCTGTTCATGATGAAATACAGGCAATTACTTCCTTTATTTGAACAGTAGGAGAGAGTGCTTATTCATTCTCTTCCTGTATGTCTCACATGACACTTCCTATTTTTCAGAAGGCTGAACTGAAGGGTGGGTGAGAGCTCCTCCCAGGACTAAGAGTCCTGGTTCTGGAGACTCCTTGCCCTGTGGTTTGCCCTGACATCCTGGGCAGATGCACAAAACCAAATACCAGCTTCTCACTCCCGGTACTGCTGATTGTCCAAAATGGACACATTTATTACTGTTTTTAGCGAAAAAGTTTCTGAGATTGCAACTTTTCAAATAATTTGCACTAGTTCACCTGTAGTTTAAACACTTCCATGTTACCTTTGCTCTGACTGCCATCTACCAGACATCACTAGAATATGACAGGCTGTGTTTCATCTCCCCCAGAACAGATCTAGAGAGTTTTCAGCTGGAAGGACAGGGCTAGGAGAGAGGTGAGAACTTTGGCAGACATTGGTGAAAGCCTTTAATGTGTTTTACGTTGTTTTGTTTTTTTCTGTTTGTTCTGTTGTGTGTGGCTGATTTTTCACAGGTCAAGACCTTCTTTACTGGAGTATTTAAGTTATCTTCTCAATTTTATGAGCATCATAGCAGGGCCTTGCAGCAATTACAAGGATTATATCGCCTTCATTGAAGGGAGGCATGTGCACATGAAACTGTTAGAAGTGAACTGGAAGCAGAAGGGTTATGACAGACTTCCTGATCCTTCTCCAACTGTAAGTTTTAAAATTACAAAGATTGGTTGTAGGGGGCAGGAAAGTACAGCTTTGTACATGATTTTCATAGTTAAAAGCTAAGAAGCAAAACCAGTTTTGGGTTATCTTGCCAGTAAAGGGTATAGTGAGTTTTTTCTGTCAGTGGCTGCTGTTTTTATCACAAGGTCGGGGTGAAGGGGCTGGCGAATTTGCCAAACGGTTTTGGCATGCAAAAAGGGTCACTTGTTAATGGTTGTCCTTTGTGCAGTGATGGGAATGGGCTGCAGGTTCTGACAATGACAAGTTGCAGTTCAGCTCTAGACAGAAGAGGAAATGTCAGAAAAACCCAAAAAAGTCAAATCTTCCCCCATAAGTGCGGGAGATATTGGAAGTACATTAATCACTACTAATCAGAAACCGTAGCCTTCCAGGTTGTTTGCAAGAGTACACTTTATACACTTCAAGATGACTCAAGAGGTAATTTTTTCACATAGTTTTAACACTAATCTGGTTTTGTATCTTTTTAATATTACTTAAAACATTCTTAGAAAATAGAAAATATCCTGCTTTTTGTAAAGCAGGACAGTGTAGCATGAGGTTCAGATTTCTCTCTCTTATCTTAAGGTGACACTGAAAGTGTAGTTTTGTGAATGTGCACAGAATATCTCCTCTGAAGCTGAGCATGTGCTTTTGTATAATGATTCCTATTGCACACAGTTGTGTTTCTACTGACCCTAGTAGTGTTAGTTCTGATTTACATTAGTCTGACTGAGGTCAGAATAAGGTCTGTATTGTAGAGGCTGCAAGTCAGAAGAGGATATTAAAATCTGCACTAAAAAAAAAAATTCACATTACTTTATTCCAGAATTTGGAGAATCTATAAAAATAGATCAAAAATCAAAAGCATAAAAAATACATGGTTGTTTTAATAGTAAATTGGATTTTTATTAGCCTTTTGAGAACATGAGTCAATTTTCACATGGTATCCAAGTGCCAGATTACTTTTTAATTACAAATGGATCAAGAAGAGTCTACCCATGGTGGGTATTTGCAAACAAGCTTTGAACTACTGCAACGATTGTCAATAATGGTGTGTAGGAAGCTAGGGAGATGGAATAGAAAATGTGTGGCAGAGCACATACCCTGTATTGTGGGTACAAGTGTGGTCTAACAACATAATGCTTTTTGGACAAATGATTTTCAGCAAGACTTCTGGGTGGCAGCTGGGTAGTAAGACCTACTGTTGCACAGAATACCACTGCTTTTGGCTTCCAGGAGGAAACCAGTCTTTAGTTCCAGGAGAGGAGAGTATATTTAGAGGAAATTTCTGCTTTTCACTGTAGGGCTTGATATGTTTCCTTTCCCACTTTAGAATCTCCGCCCACTGATGTGGAGTCTGTCATGAAGTTCATCACTAATTTGACTTGTGATTGTCCTACCTATCTATAGGTAGTTCAGTAAACCAAATTAAACTAAAGCTGTGACTGTGGCCTTTTCTTGGTCACCTCTTCTAAATTAATTAGTATCAACTTTGTCCCTGGTAACTTTAATGGTTCTTGAAGCCCATAGTTTTTGTATGTCATGAACACTGCCTTGTTCTTCCCCTTAAGCAAGTGTTTCTAATGAATGTTTCATTGTTTGTGCTTTTTAGGGAGCAGTGATGTACAAGCTGTGTATCACACTAGTATCTCTCATTTTATTCTTGACACTTACCAAGAACTTTCCAATGGCATATATTATTGATAACAAATTTCTTGATAAAACTCCCTTCTTGTCAAGACTTGGTTACCTGTATGTTGTAACACAAGCAGCAAAACCAAAGTATTATTTTGCATGGACATTGGGTAAGTCTGGCTACATTATGTACTCTTATGTGTAGCAAATAAGTTCCTAAATGGGTGAGGAGGTCTGAAATCTGGGATGGTGGGAGAGGGGGAATAAAATTGTCCCTAGACCTGTAGTTCAAGTTCACATGGGAGATGTATTCCTTTAGGCAGTGGACCCTGTGCTTGTTGGAGGGCTGGTGCTAAAACTTGCCTCTAAAGTGCTGTGGGGTCCTGTATACACCTTGGCTTTAAGCAGTCCAGAGAAAAGATTGTAGAACTGTGGGGAACAAAGGAAGTGTTGGGAAGGATCAAAATGTCTGCAAGGAAAAGGACGAGTAGAAGTAAGAGGGCTCACTGAAGGGGGAAGAAAATTTTTTTAGAAGCCAGTCAAACTGGTGGTCAAGATAATATTTTTGCATTTTACCTTCTTCTTTTACAAGTCATACTTCACCATCTATGTGTGAGGAGTCAAATCCTTTAGGCCAGGCTGAAAATATCCTAGATTTTTTAACTGGTGTTACAAGACATTGTGTCTTGTAACAGGGGAGATCCTGGAAGTCTAGCAAGGAATGCATACAACTTGAAGTGGAGCAGGGTGTCACTGCAACGGGATGGAAATAGCCAGGGAGATTCATTGCAAAGCTGTGATTAAACTGCTGGGAATAAAACTGTCAGATTCAGGGAAGGCAGCCAGGATTGGCATGTGTGGGATGGGAAAGGCTTTGAGATAAAGAATGGCTTGCTCACAAACTTACTTTTGTGGGATCCAATGTTAAATTGTTGCCTCCATTTTTTCTGGCATTATAGTTAACTGGAAGGCCATTATTAAAGAGATAAACTGAACTTGCATTTGTGACAAGACCAAGCTGCAGAGGCTCTAGAAATGTCTTACAAATGAGGCAGTTTGAGAAAAGTATGCATTTCATAGTGGAGGGTGAGGCCTCATCTATTCACATCCCAAATCCAGGCAAGAGAACAGCAGGCACTTTATCCCTTTTTTTATCCTTTCCCAGTTTTGCTCCTAGTGGCATGGCCCAGGGCATTACAAAAGCCCTGCTGAAATGGGAGATAGATGCTTCCTGTCCTCAGGAGAGGACAGGCACGCTACTGTGTGAGAGCTGCACTGCCCTGATCCATGGAAAGAAAATTCAGTTTCTCACTGCATTGGGGTAGTTCTGGGAACCCGGATGCAAACCTAACTCCGAGCTTTCACTGAAACCACTTTGGGTCTGAGTGCCTCCATCCAAGGAGCTGAGAAAGCCAATATACAGCCCAAGCTTTCAAGCCTGTGGGGAAATGAAGCTCTGCGGAGCTTGTGGGGATTCAGGTTTTGTGAGCAGCTTGAGGCTGCACAGTTGTGAGTTTTCTGTGCTTCACACCTTGCTCTGCAGACAGCAGCCTAGGAAGCAAAAGGCCAAGGGGGATGCTATATAATTATTGCTCATTCCATGATTCCTAGTTTCTTGGTTTTGGTGAAGAAACACTAATTATTTGGTCCCTGCTACACTTGGAGCAAGGAAGAGTAAATCCAGGAGTCCACTGCTCTGAGAGGGTGGCTATGTGCAGCTCCAGTCTCTGAGATTGGGCAAGATCCTGTGGGCCAGCTTCAGGCAGGGTTATTGTTTATTGTTGGAGGAGTTTTTAAGCAGGGAGAAGATGAAAAACATGGGGAGCTTTCTTTCCATCAGTAAAACCTATCTCATTTAGGAAAGTGGAAAACAAAACAGAAAGTTTCAGGTTAGAGAAGGTTGCTTGTTTATTTATTTATTGTTAGTCTTGTTGCTTATAATTAGGTTCCCTCCCTAGTTTTGTGCACCAGGGCTTCTCCATGAGCTTGTGGCTGTACTCACATAATTTACAAAGTAAAATCAGTTTTCATTCTTGGGGAAGAAATGCTGACCTTTTAAAAGAATAACCAGACTTGTATTTTGTAAATGACCTGGAAGGAAAAGCCTAACCTGTATTTGCGCTTCCCTTTTTCTTTCAATGATCCTCAGTGTTGGCTGCAACTAGATCCAGAGACAATAAAGAATTCTCCCTTCTGTTTCCATAGTCCTCCAAGCAGGTATTTTTAGCAGGGGCACATTGAAATCAGAATCTTGAGACCCAGTGATGAGGTGACTCCCAGACACTCTGAGGTGATTGACAAGGGTGCATCAGTGTGTAATGTCTACTGTTATCCAAGCTCTTACTTGCCTTAAAGTAGCTACGTGTCTAACTGAAGTTACTCAATATTTGGTTCATAGAGATGTTGAGGCACTTTAGTGAGGCATTCAGCAACAGGATTAGCAAAAGGCTTTGTCTGCAGAATTCTGAATGACAGTCTTAATTAACATAGCCATATTGGAACTCTTAATAGAAATAATAAGCATGTGTTTGTGATATTAATTTTTTTTTAATTCTGGAAAATGCTGTGACATCCAGGTGCCCTTTTGAGAAAACTGCTCATTCATTTTATGGTAATATCTGTCTCAGATGAATAATAAAGGCCAAATAACAAGAAAAGTGATTTATCGTTGTTATTTTATTATTTTATTTCTTCTGCACAAGGAGTAGGTAGTCTTTCCTCTTGAGGAAATGACTCTTGTGTAGCCTTATAGTAATGCCCTTTTGCAAAGAAGAAGCTTCTCCTAGAAAGAGAGGTTGCTAAATCCTACAAAGCTGGCTTGAATGTTTGTTTAGTGCCATACTGACTTGTAAGAAAACAGGTCTCTTCCAGCAGTCTGATTTTGACCTGTTTTGCTTTGACATTGCAGCAGATGCAGTCAACAATGCAGCTGGTTATGGATTCAGTGGAGTTGATGAGAGAGGCACTTTCCGCTGGGACCTGTTGTCCAATTTGAATATCTGGAACATTGAGGTGAGATAAAGGAGTGGCTGCATTGGCATAATTATACAGAAATGAGCATGGTAATGGGTAAAGGCTTTACTGAAAGGAAAGTAAACCTATGCTACTAGACTGCTCCTCTTTAGCATGAAGAGGTTTTGTATTTTATCTGTTGAACAGATAGAATGCATCTGTCTCACAGGCTTCCTCACATTCTGTATTCAGCTGGTATTTCTACATAGTTTCATGAGGGCTGAAAAATAATGATATCAGATATTTAATAAATGAGCAGTCAATTACTGTAGATTGTGACTGAACTCAGTGGGTCAGTAAATTGTTCACAGCTATGATTCTTCACCATGTGTGGTGTGTTCTGTTTATTTTCTTTTAACACTCTTTCACTTCTGCAGCCCAGTTGAGATGAGTGGTGGTAGTGAAAGAGGCTGCCACAAGTGGCACAGACACGTGCAAGGGCTGAACTGCCTCTGATACGTGGAGAAAAGCAAGGGTAGGAGACATAAGAGGTACAAACCAAGCAACCTGAGTGGGAGCTGACAGGGGCACACAGAGCTTAGGTGGGTGCTGGTCTAGAACACCATGCAGCAAGCTACACTGTTGCTCAAAACATCTCTCATTCCTTCCTTATGACTGCTGCATATTTTTAAGATCCATTAGCCTTCTGAAAACTATTAATGTTTGTGTCTCTAATTCAAAAGATGGCCCATATAATTTGTTTGCCCCGAAGAATATTTTGTGAGTGTCAGTGAGATGTGGAAATATTTATGTGTCTTGCGACTGCTTTCTAAAGGCTTCTTTTTTAGAAACAGGAGGAGCCTCCCTCTGTAATTCTCTAGTTGTGATTTTAGAAGTAGTCACAGATAAAAATGAGTTGCCTGCTTTATTGCTGAACAATCTGTGACTAACTGAATGTGCTATAATAGCTCTTCTCAAAAATGAAAGAGCCCCTGTAATTCTTCCTTGAAGATGCCAAAATTGGAAGTCTCATTGTACATTCTCTGTTTTTCAACATTCTTTCTATTTTTCTTTTTTAACCATGATTAATCATCAATGTAGTCCTTGATGAGTACAGGATACACAGCTCAGAAATGCGTTACACTTCTTGATGACAGCAACACCCTAGGTAGCACTCTGAGATCTTGAATCTATATCTAGTACAGTTTTGGGGCAGGAGATGATTCTTACTTTAATGGGCTGAGGCAGCTTCTGTTTGAAGGAGGAGAATAAAATGCAGCCAGTACTCTTCAGTCAAGCCAAATGGAGAAAACGGGAGCCCTTGCTCCTTTCTACCCACTGAATTGATGGCCTCTCAAAACTTACTTCCTTTATGGGTCACATGGGCAACAGAGACCAGAAATTGTTTCCAAGAGCATAAAATAGGATGTTGTCTGATTTTTTCATGTTTGCAATGAGAAAAAGAGAGGCCACGGAGACCATGGCTCTGGCTAAGCCTTGAAGCATCACTTAATGTGCCAATAGCAACGCTGGCAGTTGAAGTGTGATTGTAGAGTGTATACAGGTACAGTCTATATATTCAGCAGGTAGAGCCACCTGCATGTGTAAAATTACCTTGGAGTTGGGAACATGGGTGCTAAATGTGACTATCTGATCTGTAGAAAAGATAAGCACATGGAAGGGGTTGTGTGGGCCTTAAAACATGACAGGGGCTAAGCCCACATGCGGGACTTGAAAGCCTTGGCAGCGTCCTTGTTTTGACAGCCAGCAACTACTTCCCCTCTTGGTAATGTAACAGGGGAACTTAAAGGAGGCCAAAAGAGAGTGACAATATTAGTCGGAAGAGAAACTGTGTTTTTCTTGGCTTCTCATGGTGCGGTAATGCAATTAAAATGTGGCACTGCTACATTGGGAATTGCTAATCATTTTTACTCTTTAAATGCAGAGGTTTAAGGATTCTGTGTGGAAGTGCAAAGATTCCAAGGGGAATATGCTTCTAAGGGCACATTCCCCTTGGAAGCCTTTGCCCTTAATCAATTTTTTCAGTCATTTTTCCCATCCCTTGCCTTCGGCTGATATGGCAAAATATTACAGTGTCCCTACTTGGCCAGGGTGACCTTGGAGGTTTCTGCCAGCAGGTGAGGGACCAAGGGGGAGTTGGGAGGTGAAGTTCATCAGCAGTGGGAGAACCAATGCTGAACAACGGCGTCCAGCCGTCCTCTAAGGCTGGGGGAGCTCAGAGGAGGAGGTATGGGTGGTTCTCTCAGGATACTGGAGTCCACTCTGGTTTCTCAAGCTCAGCAGTTGGCTAAGAATTGGCTTCTAAATTTAGTCCTAATTTTTTTGCCTATGTTTTTCAGTCTTCCCCCTTCCTTCTCCAAAATTTAATAATAATAATAAAAATAATAATAAATGTCTTTTTTTTTAAATAACACTTTGTTTTAGTACCACCATGGGGAAGTCCAGATTGCATAATGGGTGGCAATATATCTCTTCCAGAAATAAAACTATGGACTGAAAGGAAAGCCAAGCATATAAAACAAGAAAGCTTCTCAGATTGCCCGTTATTTGAAAAGTAACCAAACACTGTATTTAATTATATGAGACAAAGTGAGATTTTAGAGGAAGTGCCAAGTGTTAGCAGTGAGCCATCAGCCTAGTTAACGTCCCTCCCAAGTCATATTAGTATAATGATGGATTGTGGCACAGTCATCATAAAAGTTAGCTGCTAGAATTAATATTTTTCATGTATCTCCTTACTAATTTAAATTTCAAGTAGTATTTTACAGGCTTCGTTGCTAACATTTCATGTGAACTTCTTTCTTAGACTGCAACAAGTTTTAAAATGTACATTGAGAACTGGAACATTCAGACAGCTGCCTGGCTGAAACGGTAAGAGTAATGAAACAGTTACGTGCTCGTGAGATCCAAAAGCTCTCCATGGCCTGGAAAAATGCTGCTTTGGCTCTCATAAATGTAAAGCCTCTTGTTCTTCCTTTGTTTCCTGTGTCTGTAATAGTTGGTGCAATACAAGGGTATTTGGTGCTGTAAAGTTTTATTGCTGCAAATGTAAAATGCTCCTATTTTTATATACGAGCAGCAAAGTCATAAACAAACTGTTCAAAACTTCCATAATAGAAAGCAATAGCATTTTGTTGTTTCCCTCCATTAACTTTCCTGTACTGTTTTGCTTTGCTATGTTATGCTTCCCATGCTGAGGTGAGTCTTGCTGTGTCACTGGGATCCAGAAATTCAGTGAGAAATAAGGTCAAAATCTTCAGATCACCAGTGTAGTCTGATTTGGAGTTACCCTAAGGTGCTTGTTAGGCAGTCCTTGCTTAGGATATGGGGAAGATACTTATAGCACTGAGATGATCTGATTTTAACCTGTGACTTTTAAGGCACATATTTAAATACTAGCATAAATTAAATTTTGTTGATTGGACTGTGTCTCATTACTCATTTCACTTTCTGGTGTGATTAAAGCTCAGTGTACAGTCAACATAGTGTCTGAAATGCAGTCACAGATTTATTGTAGTTTTTGTAACTATAATGATGATCTCTACATCTTAAAAATCAATGTCTACTATTTTTCATTATTCGAATGGTTCCTGGTAAGAAATGCATTATCTTGACTTTTTTTCTGTGGAGCACAGCATTTAATTTAAACTTCAGATAGCCAAATAGACTGGGTGTTGTTTTCTTGAACTGTTATCCTTGCATCTCGGGAGTAAGATTTTTGCTGCTAAAGTTAGCTGGAATCCCCTGTTTTGCAATAGTTTGCGGCACTCCCTGTTGTTCCCAGCATCTGCCAGATAACTGTGCCTAAAAATACCTCTCTTTACTAGAGTGAAGGGTGGGGTCACATCTCTTTGTCTTTCAACTTGCTCTTGATCTGTCATCAGAGTTTGGAAGGGTAATGTATGATTCCAGATAGAGATGTAAAGGTGAACAAAGTCTTGCCTGCCCTTTATTCCATGATTGATTTAAATGCTTTGAGCACCAGAAATATTTGTACAGGCGCTCTTTGGGAACTCATTTGCCTATAAGCATGCTTCCGCATTCCATATAAACCTCCGTTTAAATGAAGGGAGATTGTCTCATGCCCTAGCCTGTGACTGAACCAAGATAAGATAGCTAAGAAAACAGAGTAAGACCTTAGAAACAGAAGGATTTCAAGTGCAGTGGCCATTGTTCAACCTCTTCTGTTTTGTTTTTATTTTTGCAGTGTCTGCTATGACAGAGCTCCCTGGTACCCTACGGCTTTAACATTTATCCTGTCGGCCCTGTGGCACGGTATCTATCCTGGATATTATTTTACATTTCTCACTGGAATCCTTATCACACTCGCAGCCAGAGCAGTATGTACCTTTCATTGTTCTCTTCTAAGGCTAGACACTATCCAGCTGTCAGCTGCACCCTCACATGGTCAAGCAGCTTGTTGCTGCTGTGAGCCCTCTTTCATGCCTTTGCAGGCTTGATGTTCACTGAAACTCTGTTCTGTGTTGATGCTAATTGCAAAGCACCCAGCAGTTATAACCAGCACCAGTTCTGCATGTGATGCACTGCTGTCCCTGGCTCTCAGACGAAATGTTGCTTGAGGATGTACAGTTAGGGGTGCCACCAGCTATGTCCATGCAGTCAAATTAGCTTGGGATTCAAGGTCATGTTGGATTCCAGACTTCTCCTGGGTCATGTTGCTGTATGATGGCTTGTAATTAACTCTGGACCCAGTCTCGCACAAGAAGCTGCTGGGTGAGCATTAGCCCAAACTTGAACAGTTTGTGTGGATGCAATTGATGCAGTAAAATGGTCTCTGTGTTTATGGACCTTATTTTGTGTAGAGTCACCAAACACAGAACAGTGTTCATGTCTCACTGCTGTTGAATTTATCACTGCTGATCTTTCAGGCTGAACCAGCCACTTGTGCAGGGCTGGGAAGCACCATTGTTGTCTTTTGGAGTTGACTACAGATAAGTAACCAGGTTAATCTGAAAGGAGAATTAAACTAGTGACCAGTATTAACCACTATCGCTAGAGCAGGTTGCTTTGCCTCTCAATTATGAGGATTTCACAGATGTGAAACTAACTTAAAATCTCTAGGGAATGGCACACACTTGTATATATAAGCACTTACTTTTTCATTTAAAGTAACTGATTTACTGTTGATAACCAGTAAGAAATGAAAACCAGGAGGGAGGAACAGCTTCCCTCCCAAAAAATATTGTGCCAGACATCCAGAATGAGAGAGTCTGCACCTATGGTTATGACAGAGTAGACTGGGGGCCACTTCTCTGTTTGCCACTGGTTGACTATGAAATCTTGAAAATGCCAGTCCATACATTCCTGCTCCCAGTGCTTTATAACTGGTGAATAAACCTTGCTGTGATACTAATGCTGATGGTAAACAGAGAGTCATGCACTGCTTTGTGTCTGTGTGGCTTTGCCTAAGAAATGAATTAATATAATTTTCTGCTTACTTTTCCCTTGACTTGCAGATAAGAAACAACTGCAGACATTACTTCCTCTCGTCAGTGCCTCTTAAGATAGCCTACGACATTGTTACCTGGGCGGTCACTCAGCTGGCTGTGTGCTACACTGTCGCACCATTTGTTATGCTGGCTGTGGAGCCCACCATTAAGTTTTACAAGTAAGTCCTCTTGCCTTGACTTTGTTCTCCAGGGTGGCATAGACTTTTGTTAACTCACCCAAACCACACTGAAAAGCAGCTAGCATTTAATCGAATTTGAAAGGAGCTCAGACAGGATGCTTGCTAAAGTATAAGAGGTGACTTTAGCACTCCTGTAACATAATGAGATTATAACAATGCCAAGGCAGGGAGCACTTTGGTTGTTCTTCTCATTCTGTGTCCTTACGTGACATTTCATATACTCCGTTTCCATTTTCAAAATAATTGGGCCTCAACCATTAGCAGTAGCCAAGGCTGAAGAGGTTAAGAATAATGTGAGTTGGCAGTAGGAAGGAGGTGCTGAGCAAAGACCAGGCTTCCAGCCGCTGCATGCGTATAAGGGGAGGTGTAATGGATCAGCAGGAGATATGGAGGGCTCCTGGCAAAGCACTGCTCCTTGAAAGCAGTATGCTTTTTGTTACAAAAGTATGCTTTTCTTCTTACAAAGGAATTACTTCCCCAGATTCCTTAAAAATAAGAAAACACGGGTGTTGCAGAGCACATTGAATCTGCTGTAATAAAACCAAGTCGAAATAGAAAAATTGAGAAAATAATTAGAAAAGGGAAACAGGGCTACATGGCTTTACTCTTCTTTCATTTTACTGTCAATATAGAGCAACAGCTTCTGTTTCAGAAGAAAGACAATTCCCTCCTCCAACATAAAAGACACAAAACTGGTAGTAAAGATAGCTGCTGTCTGTTTGCAGGAGGCTGAATTTCAACACTTTTTATTCCTGTTTCTTGAAACATTTGATTTCAACACAGAAAACTTACCATGGAGTAAAAATTTCTCCAGATCTTTCTTAGCTTCATTTCTTAATAATTTTGCCCTAGTGACTTTTGCCCTGGTTAACTTTGAAAATAGTTAACATTTAAACTTAGAGACTTGTAAGCAAGCTTTTGGACTAGGGCATGAATTTTTGGAGCACTTCACACCACGAAAAGTGGTCTTAAGCACCTTACAAGGATATTAAGATCTATGGTAAGAAGCATAGATGAGACCACAGAAATGTGCATTGCTATGTTTAACAGCTGGACCATACTGATCCAAATCATCATCTTCCCCAAGCTGCCAGAACCTCATCCATTTGGTTTAAGTATTTTTTATTTCTCTTCAAACTTGTGTATTCTGAATTATTTGAAATAAAAATATTAGATGTTTAGAAACATACCAAATACAGATATCTCTGAGCAGTAACCTTCAAAAACGCAAGCCTTCTGTAAACATCATTACCTGACCTTCTCCAGTTAAAAGCTGAGTGTTTTGATTTATTTCAGATCTCAGCACTTTGGTTGAATTTATTTCTTTCTGTCACTTTTTAAAATTCTTTTGGAACCATTAATGATATTTCTTCACAACTTGGCCTTGTGTATTCCAACACTAAAAGAAAGATGGGCTGAATAAGTCTGGGGTTGAATTATATGGGTTTATCTGAGCTGTCAGACTTTGGATTCTAGGGTTTGCTGGTGGTTACCTTGCCCCATTATCATCCACAGCAGCATTTTCACCCATCAGATGACCAGCCAGCAGACACCATATTCCGAGACTGTGTGAAATTCAAGGGTATATTTTTGTTCTTTCTATGTCAGGTTCATACATTCTGCATTCATCCCTTAGCACTAAATTCTGCATATTAGGGTTGCAGAATTCATATTATTCCCTACAAAAATATAATTTTCTTTCTGCTTTTGTTCCCAGGTCTGTGTATTTTCACATGCACATTCTAAGCATCCTGGTGTTGCTCCTGTTACCAAGCAGACCTCAAACCCACTCTGTAAGAAGGGCTCAGAATCAGGACATGCTGAACTCTAGCAAAAGTAAAGATAAATGATGCCTTCAAAGAAAACTGCCAGCATTGGGAAATCAAGCTGTTGTATTGTAAACAAACAAAATAAGAGGAAAAACGGGTTGCAGGAGGATTGAAGTACAAGACAAGTGGCATTTCTGTTGGCTATCTTAAAATCTTACTGGAGAGGGCAGAGAAGAGCCTGAATGACTGTAATTCAAATTATGCCAGTTAATGGAGATTTTACAGGCAACGTTTACAGGCTCATGGGGCATTTCATTTTTATAATAAATATTTTTATGAAGTGTTTTTATATATTTAAACTTTTTCACAGAGAGGCATTTTTTCTCTTTTACAGAAATACATAACTATTAATCAACAAATAATCTTGTGATTAGAGAGAGGGACAGAAAGCAGCTAGTAAAGAGTTAGACCAGCTGCCTGATAGCCTGGAGCTGTGGGCAGCTAATAGGGGAAACTTTTCATCTCTTGGTTGTGGAGAGAGATGGTGCAAGTAGAAGACTACAGGCATGAGCTTGCTCAAGGTGCCGGTGCTGACTTGTGCCCCAGCAGGGGGATGGGGGAGTGGGGCTTTCCCCGGCAAACCCCGGAGCAGGGACTGCAGCCTGAGCTGGGCAGCAAAGGTACTTCACGTCCTTCAGTGTCACACCTGCTGGTGATGAGGGCAAGACAAGTCCCGTGGGATTTGGTGTCTCGGGGCACTGATAACTGGCTGAGACAAAATTTAAAGCCAAGTAAAAAAAAAGCAAAAGGGAGAAGGAGGAACTCAAATCTAGAGTAAAAGAAGGGACATACAGCCTGTGGTCTGTAGAGTTGCGCTTCTCTAGTGACACAGCTGGTGCTCATTGCTACATCAGCCTTACTTTGTAGTCTTAGTGATGAGCACTTCCTTTTTGGTATCAAAATGAGTGAGGAGCCATACAGGGTTAGTGTTTTAAAACCTGCAGTTATGGGTTAAATCTGAAAAAGCTTTGTAGTGGATCAGACTGTTCTACTCAAAAACATCCCGTCTTAAGGAGGGGTTGCATTCCAGCAGGCAACACTAATAGGAAACCTGAACAGTAATTATCACTGTCATAATAAATCATTCTCTACAAGATATTGCAATCACCACAAGAGTTGAGACTGAGTCCTTGTGTGATCTTGCCATCTGACTTCAATGTTGATGCAAGTTTCCCTGCTTGTAAAGTTCTTGACTTACAGGGATGTTTTCAGGCTTGATTCCTAAGCGCTTGTAGTACATCGAGATAACCTGCTGCAAAATGCTGTGTCAGGGTGTTCTACTATTTTCTTTCTTAAATCCACTTAACCCAGTAAAATAGACTGGTACCACACATCAAAACCAACTGAAGCATTTTTTTAAATGTTTCCCAGGAATGTTTTTATCAGGATTTTGTAGAAGCAGTTCCTTTGTTAAAGTATTGGTATTACTTTATTGATATTTAACTAATGTGTGATTGAGGAAAAAATCTGCTGTTTACTGTATTCTGATTTTTGTGTCAGGTTAAAGTTTTGCCGAATTTCTCATATTTTGAGAAGAAACAAATCAGTGAAACCAATAACAAGTTCCAAAATCAGTGAAACCAACCAACAAGTTCCAAAAAAAGTAATATTTTTCTTTGATGGGAATTTTTTGTCCCGTGACCACATTATGATTTAGAGCATAGTTCATGGGAGAGTTTATTTGCTAATTTATTTTAAAGGGCAAGATGGGATTAAAAGATTGATCTGAATAAACAATTTGCTTTGTGTCACTGCCTGGCATTATTGATCACTAATGTCTAATGTGAAAAATGGGTGAGTGGGTGGGGGAAATCACACTTGTGAGGGAAGATGTTCAGGTCTGCTGGATTTTACTGCAGCTGAGCTTTCCATCCTGCTCCTGCTGAAACAGAGACAAGGTGACCCCTGTCTGTATTCGTGTCAGCTTTGCCCTTCACTTGGCTGGTCTTTTTTGTCATGGTGTGTGTGGCATCCTTGTAGCACCAAGCCTCAGTTGCATCTTGGACATTTAATATTTCCCTTGAGGTCTGATTGTGCCATTCCTGTATCCTGTGGGAGGAAACCAGGGCACATCCCCAGAAAGGGATGGGGAGTTGGGTGCTGCTGGCCCTGGAATCCTGTGGGCTGAAGCCAGTCTGCAATTGCCTTCCAGAAATGAAAGAATCAGTGTGAGCTCTGGCAGAGTCAGCAAACTTCACATCAACTCTGGGCTTTGGCAATACGGCAGAAGGTAAATGTTCCCAGCAGGCTGGCCTGAGCACCTGCTTTGGAAATTAAGCGCTCTCAAAGGGGCTTGTGGGTCGGTACCTGCTGCTCTGTGCCCTGAGATCTGCCTGCATGGCTCAAACCCTGTTCTGCAGTTCTTCCTGAGCTGTGTACCTTCAAGAGAGGCCACGTATCATCAGTGGGGTTTTTCTTCTAGTGTTTCCCCAAGTGAAACGTGCTTATATGTAATGCCATTGACAACATTGTGGTTTCAGCTCCTATAATGTGATGAATTAGTCTGGGCTAGTGAGCAAACTTACTCTACTGTTACTCTCCTGTCATGTTGCCTTCTCAGCCTGAACCTCTCCCTTAAAACAGGCTCCCTGGGAATTAAAGAGAACTGGTCAGACGGATTTAATGTGATATGTTACATGAGCCAAAATTGAAACTGGGTTTTTGAAACATGGCCTTTGCAGGGAAACTCGGTGGTTAAATTAGTCTTAAAGCTGCATGGAAAAGAAGAAAATTACCTAAAATCTTTGCTGTACTATGTTACTATGGGCTAGGCAGCATACCTAGACAAATGTGGCAGTCCTGCAAAGCTAACACAGAGTGGATATAAATGGCTGTAAAAAATTCCTTTGAAAAAAAAGGCTGTAAGCTTTGAGGTTACCTTGATCAATCTGTTGTGTTGAGCCTTCCTCTCCTTTTCTTCTTCTCAGGGGCATGATATTTTGTTTTATAGGAAGACTGCAAACAGCCACTACACTTTACAGGAGACTTGCGCTAGTAATTGCATCTACTTTGCACAGGAGTATGTAATTCAAAGAGCCAAAGTGAGAGTTAGATCAGAAAAAGATGATGTCAGGAACTTCAATTCTGGTAATTCTAATTCTAGTGTAATTTGAGAGTGCGTTTCAGTGATTAAAATACATCATGGTGGTTATACATGTTGGTGATTACCAATGTGTTATTAGTTTCTAATCCCTCTCTGGCTTCTTAGTGCTGCAAAAAACTCAAGAGCATCTAGAGAGCTTCTGAAGAGAACAGCAATCTTTATGGCTTGTAAGAAAGAAATACAGGCATATCACACAGAAATGAGAAAGGTATATTGTACTGGATGGACAAAGGTTGATTTTAATCATGACAGTACCAAGAAGACACTACCACCGTTACTCCCTTGGATTGAAGGCATATTTTAGCTGCTGTTTTTCAGCATATTTTGATTTTTCTAAACTAGAAGTTGAGATATACTTGGAAGAGAAAACTGAATAAAGAGTAAAACTTCATTTCAACTTAACTATGGGTCTGGTATTTAAAGAAGCAAGTGCTCAGCAATTTCTTCAGTGAACTGAATGCACAATGTACATTTTTACTGTCCTGTAAGCTGTTCCCTGTCCTAAGTACATTACTGCATATCCACTTGGAGCTTGCCAAGCAATGGAGGCAGCACAGAAGTGGGATACAAGATGGGCAGATATTTTTTCTCTCTCTTTGGCTGCTCTGTTTTCTGTGCATACATTGCATAGCTGGGATTTTCTGTATCACTTAAAATGAAGTAGGTGGGTGAGAAAGCTGTAGATTTTTACTCTATTGGTCGATGTTTGCATAAAGCTGTACCTACCTCTCTACACATGTAAAAGCAGGCCCAACAAACCTGATCTGGGTTCTCTTGTAGAAATACAAGTTGAAATTCCAACACCCAAGGAAGTTTAGGGGCAAAATTTCTATCAGTTTGGTTAGTGACTCCTGTTTAAACCCTTTGTCTTCTTATCCCTGGACTGTGGACTTCAGAAAAAATATCTACAGGCTGCAGAACAAATAAAAACTTGTCTTTAATGTTTAATGGTAGAATCCTCATAGTCGACCTGCTGTGGACAGAGGAAGAGCATATGTGTCTTCCCATCCTTGCCCAAGATGAAGTGACATGCATGGTTGCATATGGAAATATCAGCTATCCTTTGAGGTACCGTCCTCTTTCCTGATGTCACTGAACTGATGCAGTTCAGCTCTCAGGGGCTGGAGGCATTCCACAGCGATACAGAATGGGAAGCCTTGCCTGACATCTCAGCATGAGCGCAAATGCTCAGTGTGTGCTCTAAAATCGTCTTCTTTTGTGCACCATCAGCCTGCTGCTCCCTTTCTTCCCGGAGATGACAGTAATGATATGCATGAAGGGTTTGGGCTTGTGCTGGTGAGAGTGAAGTGGCAGCGGGTTTACTCAGATACATTTACACGTGGTGCCCTCTGTGGGCGAGCAGTCGAGAAAAGATTCTCCTCCTGTGCCGAGCAGGGAACACTGCAAAGGCGAAAGGTTTGGCAGCAGCCCAGACGCCCAAAGTGCCAGGCAGCCGATGGGTTTCAAGTCTGTGGTAACACAGGTGTGCTGTGCAGGAGAATGGGAGAAATGGAAGACCTTCGGTAAAGTGGGGGAAACCCCTGTTATTACAGGAGGAGATGCTGCTTTGTTCATAGAAAAAATGGTGTTTGTATGCCTTAAGAATTTGTGGTACACTTTTCATTCTCCTGACTCAAATACGGTTTTAGAAGGGGCACACAGGATGGGGGGAACATCAGTTCTGAGAAGTGTCCTGACAGTGCCCTTGGGACCCAATTTATTGTCCATCCATAGAACAGCTCTGAAAGTGAGACCTCAGGCTTGCCTGGAGGCTGTGCTGCTGGAGCATGGCTCCCTGTGCACCCAGATGAGGGGCTGTGCAGCTGGCCTCTGCAGCCCTGGCATCAATGGCAGGCAGCTGATCCAGGAGCATGCCATGCTCACAGTCAGTTTTCCTGGTCCTTCTGTCAGATGCTGTATAGGTAAATACTGTGTCTACCAATACCGAAAAAGAGCGTGGAACACATCAAGGCCAAACCAGTCATGGATGAAGAGAAATGCTGCCATAGCCCAGACATGCTATGCAACCCTTGTTTTGTCCAGGGATGCAAACCCCTCTTCATCAGAAACATCTTCAGACAGTGATGTTGTCACTGCTCTGAGACGAATGGGTTTCCTCTTTGTTCATACTTATTCTTGCCTTGATGGCTTCTGTATTAGTGCACTTTAGCCTTTCTGCTTTAATTTTTAATTTGTGTTTGAGAAAGATGGTGTTTTGTGGCCATTTTAGATCTGATCAGGCTGATACACTACTAAGGGCAACCTTAAAAGAAGCAAGTGACATGAGTATTGAAAGAGATAATATGAACACATTCAAATTGATTTACCTGTCTGTTACTCTGATGTGTTTTGGGTTTTTTTTTCCCCAAGTACTCTTAAATGACACCTTCCAGTGTGGAGCAGATGGTTCATTTTCCCTTGGAGATGTCTTTGGAACCAGCTTAGACAAAAAAGGTCCATTTCTGACACCCAGAGGCCCCCCCCGGCTGGTCTGGTAAGTGGCTGCCCAGGACACTTTGGGGGAGTGGGGGGTGCCATGTACCTTCCTCCTTGTCTCCATGCTGGGAACACATGTGTGATCCATAGCACAGTGAGAGAATTCTTGCACCTGCAGCCCTCAGTGTGTAAACCAGCGTGCAGGGCCCCTCGGGTGTGTGAAATAAGGGGCAATCCTCAAACAAAGAATTGCATAGGTGGGGACTGGAGGCACAGAGTTGTGACAATTGACTGTGAGCAGGCAGCTCATGCCATGAGAAGAGGAAAAGGCAAGTTTTCACAGTGCCAGCCTGTGGCTTCATGTATCTGCTGCCAGGGATGGTGGTGAGGTTTGTCTGCCGTTTTGGAGGGCTCTATGTTGAATGGAGGACCCACAGGGCTGGACACAGCCCCTGTGGGAATGTCTGTCCATCACAGCATAGCTGAAGGACCTGGGTGGCACTGAGGGAAGGACTGCAGTCCCATGAGCTGCTCTGCTTTCTGCTTTTTTGCCTGATTGCCGGCCCTGGACATTTTGCCTCCCGGCCTTGACTCTCCCATGTTCCTCCCACTCCAATGACATCAAGACATGCTCTTGAAATATGAAATGTCAGCAAGAATCTTTAGTGTCTTTATATTTGCCTTCTGATCCTGGCGCCTTTGAAGCCTGTGCATCCGAGTTGTTCCCAGCTGCCAAGGCCAGAGAGGCATTTGGAAAGCGCAGCTGTCAATAAAACCATTTCCACGCTGCGCCCCATCCCCTGGTGTGTTTTGCAAATGATGTAAAGCCACGATGATGTGCACGGGAGCTCTCCTCTTTCCTTCCTGCCTAGAGTTTCAGCTGGCAGGAGTGGCAGAAACACCCAGAGGATGGGAAGTGGCATGACTGGCGGCTTTCAGAGAGCTGGCTTCTGCAGAGCAGATTTGTTTGCAGCCAGCACGTGGTCCCCAGCGGCATGATATGGGCCTTCCTCAATTAGACTTCTTGACTGATGGCCAGTTTAATGAGCCCATGTACAGAGGGTCATTCAACATGGCAATTATACCTATAAATCTATTTGCAGCAGGGCTCGAATAACCTTTTGCGCAGAGTTCTCCATAAAATGACTGTCTGATTAATTAACATTAATTTATCCACTGTGTGTAACCAGATGCAGTCTGTATGAAAGCCTC